CGCATGATCAGAGGTCAGGAAAACAGACCTTATGATGAGAGGCTGAGAGCAATGGGGCAATTCAGCCTGGAAAAGCGCAGGCTCAGGGGTGATCTGGTGGCCACCTATAAGTTTATCAGGGGTGCTCATCAGGATCTGGGTGAACGTCTGTTCACCAGAGCTCCCCAAGGGATGAAAAGATTGAACAGTCACAAACTCCACTGTGACTGGTTCGGGATGGACATAAGAAAGAACTTCTTCACTATCCAAGCCCCCACGGTTTGGAATAGACTGCTGCCGGAGGCGGTTCAAGCACCCACTTTGAACTCCTTCAAGACACGTTTGGATGCTTATCTTCCTGGGATCCTATGATCCCTTGTGACTTCCTGCCCCTGGGAGAGGTGGCTGGACTCCATGATCCTCCGGGGTCCCTTCCAGCCCAAATGTCTATGAAATCTAAGAAAACCTGCAAAGATTGAATCAGTTCAGGCTTTTTGAATGAACGTCCCTGGCCCAGATGTTCAGTGCACATAAATCGGTTTTAAAAAGGCTGAAACCAGTTTGAGATAAACCCGGTTGAATATAGTATCAGAATTAATTGATTTGGGTCAAACCGGTTTATGCAATGTCTGTCCCAGACCCCTTCCTGGTTTAAGTTAAACCAGACTTCCCCAGCATCCTGGCATACTCTCTAGGCTGGGCTCTCTTCTCCACAGCAGAGGTGGCCCCTCCCCTCTGCTTCCTTGCTGAAGCTCTGGCAGAGACTGCAGGCGTTTGCCTGGCTTCCCCATACTCCCCCACCACCCTCTCCTCATCACTCCCTGCTAAGCAGGGATTCCCCTCTCCCCTCTGCCATACACAGATACCTCTCAGCATTAGCTAGCATACCACATTCTGGCTACGGTCTGTGATGTGGCAGACAGGACAAAGACAGATAGGACTGTGCTGCTTAGGGCTCTTTGGAGCTTATCAATAGTTAGGCTGGTAATGTCCCTCCATTTCTTCTTTGGAACTAGTTGTTTAACAGCTTGAACTAATAGAGAGATCCTTTTGTTTTGCTGTTGGGGTGATAAATGTTTCCTGCTGTGTAACTAAATCCTGGCTGGCTCCTTGCTGACCAGAGAAGGGGGGAACCTCTACCTAATCAGAGCATCCTGCTGGGGCCTGACCACGCCTCCCCCCCCCCCCCCCCCTCCCCC